CTCAAAAAAAAAAAAAAAAGAAGGTTGCTTGAGCCCAGGAGTTCAAGGCCAGCCTGGCCATCATAGTGAGAACCTCGTCTCTACAAAAAGCAAAACAATTAGGCATGGTGGTGCACGTCTGTGGTCCCAGCTATTCGGGAGGCTGAGGCGGGAAGACTGCTTAAGGCCAGGAGGTTGAGGCTGCAGTGAGCTATGATCATGCCACTGCCCTCCATCCTGGGCAACACCGTGAAATCTGTCTCTAAAAATGAAAAGTAATAATAATAAAATTAATTGTTCAATAAATGAAAGAACATTAGACTGAACAATTGGTAACTACAAGAGTAGCAGAATTTCTAAATATCTATTTTTCTTCTTGGGCAAAATGATTGTTGCTTTAGCTAATACATTTGTAGTTATAGCATTTCCAGGCCACATAAATCTGTCATGAAATTTACATAGCAACCCTGACATATTCTTTTTTTTGAGTCGAAGTCTCACTCTGTTGCCCAGGCTGGAGTGCAGTGGCACACTCACGGCCACCGCAGCCTCAGCCTGCTGGGCTCAGGTGATCCTTCCACCTCAGCCTTCCAAGTAGCTGGAACCACAGGCATGCACCACCAGGCCTGGCTCACTTTTTTTTTTTTTTTTAATTATAGAAATGTCTCGCCATGTTGCTCAGGCTAGTTTCGAACCCCTGAACTCAGGCAATCCTCTCTCCTCTGCCTCCCAAAGTGCTGAGATTACAGGCATGAACCACCACGCCAGGCATAATCCTGACACATATTCTAAGCACAGATCTAAGTGTTAGAGGAAGAGCTTTCAGCCTTCAAAGCAGGCATATATTTTATTTTTAGCCAGGATGTGGCTGGGTTTGGTGGCTCACTCCTGTCATCGCAGCGCTTTGGGAGGCAGAGGAGAGAAGACTGCCTGAGCCCAGGGGTTCGAGACCAGCCTGGGCAACATGGTGAGACCTTGTCTCTACAATAAATAAAAAATTAGCAAGGCGTTTCAGCAACTTGGAAGGCTGAAGTGGAAGGACTGCTTGAGCCCAGCAGGTTGAAGCGCCAGTGGCCTTGAGCGTGCCATTGCACTCCTGCCTGGGCGACGGGGTGAGACTCCGACGCAAAAAAGAAGAATAAAAAAACAAGACGTCTGACATATTTCTAAGGCCGAGAGCGGTGGCTCACGCCTGTAATGCCAGCACTTTGGGAGGCGGAGGCAGGAGGATTGCCTGAGTCCGGAGGTTCGAGCCCAGCCTAGGCAGCAGGGCGAGACCGCATCTCTACAATAAATCAAAAAATGGCTCCGACTCAGATTTAAAAGAAAGAAAAGACAGACCGGGATGTTTTCCTCCGGAGGGCAGACAGTGCCCACACAGGCCGTCCGCC